CGCTCAGCTTCCTCCTTCAGGCCCCTTCCAGCCCGGAGCCCCACTGGCCTCCCAGGGCGCGGAGTGAGAGCCCCGTAGGACCCCCCCGGTGGGTTAGAACCCTCTTTACAAGCATTTCAAGGTACATGCGTCCTTTTTGTTTCTTTTCACTATCATAGTCACTCTGGTGAATCCAAGCATAAACAGACAAATCTGACAACGCGACGGTGCAGATGGGGAGGGAAAGGCGACATCTATGTATATGTCCAGCTGCTCCAACGAGACAGACAGCGCTGCTTTGAGCTCAGTCGGGGAAGAACAATTTCCGAGTGGGCGTGGCCCCCTTTGGGGGTGTGGAGGGCTGATTACAAGCACTTGGGGCTGAGCAGTGAGGGGGCTCTCTGAGGCGGCAGTCACGGGCTGGGGGAGGAAATGGGTGACCGAGGGAATGTGGTCCCTCCCCGGGGGCCTTCCTGTCCTGGTGCCATCTCTGACAATCAGGACACCCAACCTACTGCCAGCTCAACACAGGAAGGGGACTGGGCCTCCTGGGAGGAAAAAGCTCTCTTAGCATCCAGGGCCACTGCTGAGCCCCACCCTGGCCTTGGGGAGCCCCACATCTGGATGGGAGTTAAGGTCACGGGTTCATCGTGAGGGACGTGCCAGTTAGATGAATGTGACTTAGACCTAGAAAGTGAGGTCCTACCTTGTGCCCAGACTTTGCCTTCCCTTGATCTCACCCCTTGGTTTAGAGTAGATGCCTCCCACATCCAAACAATGTGAATTTCTGAGAGGGGGGTGGTGAGGCTGGGGACTCAGGACAGTGTGACATGATGAGTGGTACAGGCAGTGACTGGGCTCCACACAGCAGACACAGGGTGTGGCGGAGGCAAACAGGTGGCTGCAGTGGGGTAGGAGAAACGGGGGCTCAGAAACCCCCCCGAGACCTCCACACACTCTAGAGATGCCAGTGGCCCAGGCTTGGGAACAGGCGGGTGTCCCCCAAGAGGCACGAGTCCTTACGAGAGAACTGGTTAGCCCTAAAGTCCCAGATCAGTGAGGTGGCCAAAATCGTGGCTGCACTTCCAACCTTCAGAGCTCAAGAGAACAGGGTTTCCATGAGCGGAGGGAGCCCCTCAGGTCAGGCCCTGCCCCGCCCCTGTGGGGGGGGGAAAGAGGCCAGCACTCAGGACAGCAAGGTCAGTCTTCTCTGAGGAAGTCCCCACAGGCTGCCACCCTCCCGGCAGCCAACTTGCCCGTCACAGGGCGGGAGGAACCGGAGCCTTTCTCCCACAGGCTGCCCTCGAAGGTAGCACACTGACCTGCAGCAGATCCCAGGCCACCAACTACAGGAGGCCACCGGGTCCCAGTGGAGGCTGCTTGTCCTCCCTGCTGCCCTCCCATGCAGGGAGCAGGTCTCTCCCGCCATGCTTACTCTCACCCCTCCCTCTCCCCCTCTCCCCCAGCTCACCCCCCTCA